AAAAAAAAAAAGAAGCAACTCTTCCATCTGCAACAACATGGTGGACATGGAGTGTATTATGCTAAGCAAAATAAGCCAGTTGGAGAAAGATAAATATCACATGATCTCATTCATTTGTTGAATATAATGAACAACATAAACTGAGGAATAAAAATAGATCCAGAGACAGAGAAGCATGGAACAGACTCAAACCTCAGATGGAGGTCAAGGAGGGTGGGAGGGGAGGGGTAAGAGATCAACAAAAGGACTTGTATGCATGCATATAAGTATAAACAATGGACCCAGACAGCAGGGGCATGAGGGTTTGTGCTGGGGGGGGCGGTGGGAGTGGGCAGAGAGAGGTTAATGGGGGGGAAAGGAGACATATGTAATACTTTCAACAATAAAGAATTTTTAAAAAATATGCAATAAAGTTATCACCTAGGGTTCTTATTATAGAAATCCAAAATTTAACCTTGCCATACCATTTAAGTTCCTAAAATTGATATATTAATGAAAGATATATAAAATTTTGCAATATATGAACATCTAATGTTCTGGGAAAATCTACATTGTTTTAAAAGCTCACAGACCTGCCCTAACCGGTTTGGCTCAGCGGATGGAGCGTTGGCCTGTGGACTTGAGGGTCCCAGGTTCTATTCCGGTCAAGGACATGTACCTTGGTTGCGGGCACATCCCCAGTGGGGAGTGTGCAGGAGGCTGCTGATCGGTGTTTCTCTTTTATTGATGTTTCTAAGTCTCTATCCCTCTCCCTTCCTCTCTGTAATAAAATATATTTTTTTTAAAAAGTTCACAGACCCACACAGTAGTAGAAAATTAATAGAATATTATGTAAAGTAATTTTATTTTCATTTTTTATTAAATTTAATGGGATTATATTGATCAACATGAACATATAGGTTTCAGGTGTGGGTTTCTATTGTTATAAGATCTGTATATTGCACCTTGTACCCATTACCCAATCAAATTTTCTCCTGTCTCCAGATACTAGGACACCCTTCCCCTCCCAACATCTTCCCTCTGGCAACCACCACACTGCTATTTGTGTTCACAAGTTTCAGTTTTATATCCCACTCATTAGTGAAATCATATAGGTCTTAGCTTTTTGTGACTGACATTTCACTTAGCACGGTATTCTCAAGTCCATCCATGTTGTTCTTTCTTATGGCTGAGTAGTATTCCATTGTGTATATGTACCACATCTTCTTTATCCAGTCCCCATATTCCAGGACACTTTGGTTGTTTCTAATGTCTTGGCAACCATGAATATTGCTGCAATGAACATAGGGTTCATATGTCTTTGCACAAATATGATTTTGAGTTTTTTGGGCATATACCCATCAGAGAGAACATTGGGTCGTATGGTAGCTCAATTCTCATTTATTTGAGCATTCACCAGAGTGCTTTCCATAGTGGATGTACCAGGTTACATTCCCATCAGAAGTGAATGAGTGTTCACTTTTCTCCACAACCTCTCCAACACTTGTTATTGCTTGTCTTATTCAAAAAGGCCACTCAAACAGGTGTGAGGTGGTATCTCATTGTAGTTTTGATTTGTATTTCCCTAATTGCCAGTGAGGTTGAACATCTTTTAATATATCTATTGGCTGTTTGTATGTCTTCTTGGAAGATGTTTTTTTTATAGCTGCTCTGCTCATTTTTTGATTGGGTTGTTTGTTTGATGTTGAGTCTTATGAGTCCTTTATATGTTTTAGAAATGAAAACCTTGTTGGAGCTACTATTTGCAAATGTCATATCCTATCTGGTTGGCTGCCTGTTTGTTTTGTTGTTGTGGGTTTTTGTTGTTGTTGGTGGTGGTGGTGGTGGTGGTGGTGGTGGTGTTTTTTTGCTGTGCGGTAGCTTTATAGTTTGATATAGTCCCATTCATTTATTTTTGCCTTTACTTCCCTTGCCTTTGGGGTCAAGTTCATAAAATTTTCTCTAAAACCCAGGTCCACAAATTTGGTACCTAAATTTTCTTTGATGTAACTTATTGTATCAGATCTTATATTTAGGTCTTTGATCCATTTTTAATTAATTTTTGTACATGGGGACAAAATGTAATCCAGTTTCAATCATTTACATGTGGCTTTCAAGTTTTCCCAGCATAATTTATTTACTCCATTGTGTGTTCCTGGCTCCTTTGTCAAAAATTATCTGTCTATATACATGCGGATTTGTAGCTGGGCTCTTTATTCTGTTCCATTGATCTGTTTGTCTATTTCTCTGCCAATACCATGCTGTTTTGATTATTGTAGCTCTGTAGTATAATTTGAAGACAGTTAGCATGATACCTCCAGCTTTGTTTTTTCTCAGAATTGTTTTGTCTATTCGGGGTCTTTTGTGGTTTGATGATTTCTCCTTCTATGTCTTTAAAAACTGACATTCTTATTTTGATGGGGTTGCATTAAATCTGTATATTGCTTTGGGAAATATGGGATGAACTATGTTGGTTCATCCAATCTATGAACAAGGAATATTTTCCCATTTGTTGTATTTTTTTCAATCTCTTTTAATTATGCTTTGTAATTTTTAGTATGTAGGTCTTTCACACTCTTAAGTTTATTCTTAGGAATTTTTTTGTTTTTGTTGCAATTGCAAAATAAATTATTTTTTATTGTCTTTTTCTGATGTTTTATTGTTAGTCTACAAGAAGGCAATGGATTTTTGCATATTGATTTTGAATCTTGCAACTTGACTGTATCTGTTTATTGTTTCTAATCATTTTTTTGGTAGAGTCTTTAGAGATTTCTATATACATCATGCCTGCAAAAAGTGACAGTTTTACTTCTTCCCTATTTGGATGCCTTTTATTTCTTTCTCTTGCCTTATTGTTGTGGCTAGGACATCAAGCACTACGTTGAATAAGAGTGGTGACAGTGGACATCTTGTCTTTTTCCTGATCTTAGGGGAAAAGCTTTCAGTTTTTCAGCATTGAGAATGATATTAGCTGAGGGTTTATCACATATGTCCTTAATTATGTTGAGGTACTTTCTTTCTATTCCAACTTTATTGAGTGTTTTAATCATAAATGAATGTTGTATATTATCAAATGCTTATTTTGAATCTATTGATAAGATCATATGAGTTTTATCCTTCCTTTTCTTAATGTGGTTCAGTACATTGATTTATTTGCATATGTTGAACCATTCTTGTGCCCCTGGCATGAACCCCAGCTTATCGTATTATTTTTTGATGTACTGTTATATTTGATTTAACAGTATTTTGTTTAGGATTTTTGCATCTGTATTCATCAGAGATACTGGTCTGTGCTTTTCTTTTCCTGTGTGTTATCTTTACTAGGATTTGGTATCAGGGTTATATTGTTCTCACAGAATGTGTTAGGAAGAATTGCCTCCTCTTTAATTTTTTGAAAGAATTTGAGGATAGGTTTCAAATCTTTGAATGTTTAGTAGAATTCACTGGTGAAGCAATCTGGTCTTGGACTTTTAAAAAAATATATTTTATTGATTTTTTTACAGAGAGGATAGAGAGTTAGAAACATCAATGAGAGGGAAACATCAATCAGATGCCTACTGCACAACCCCTACTGGCCAGTAAGGAGGGAATATGCTAATTGAGTGTCCTGCTCTCAAAGATGGCAGTTCCCACAGCCAATAAGGGAATATGCTAATTGACCATTCCACCCTGAAAGATGGTGGCGCCCACAGCCAATAAGGAGGGTACTATGATAATAGACTGACCCTCCTTCAAAGATCGGAGGTGCCCACAGCCACAAGATGGCAGTGCCCAGTCCTCTCAGCCCCACCAGGGTGGCAGGTGCACAGCAAGCCACTCCGCATGCTTACCTCTGGAGACCCCCAGTCCCCTCAGCCCCCCAGCCACCCAGGGCTGGCCTGAGGCACAGGCAAGCCTAGGATGGTGGCTGTCCAGCCACCCAGAGCCACCCAAGGCTCAAGTAACCTGGGCCAGCCAAGGCTTGCACTACCGGCAGTGGCAGCAGCAGAGGTGTGATGGGCCGTTGCCTTCCCCTGGTTGCTGGGTCTCCTCCTGCCCCTGAGGGCTCCCAGACTGTGAGAGGGGGCAGGCCGAGCTGAGGGACCCCCCCTCCAGTGCATGAATTTTCATGCACAGGGTCTCTCTAATGTTATATAATTCTAGCAACTTATCC